TACAGGACACGGGGGGTACAGGACACGGGGGGTACAGGACACGGGGGGTACAGGACACGGGGGGGGTACAGGACACAGGGTACAGGACACAGGGGGTTCAGGACACAGGGTACTGGACACAGGGGTACAGTACACAGGGTACAGGACACAAGGGTACAGGACACAGGACACGGGTTACAGGACACAGGGTACAGGACACAGGGTACAGGACACAGGGTACAGGACACAGGACACGGGGTACAGGACACAGGGTACAAGACACAGGGCACAGGGTACAGGACACAGGACACAGGGGTACAGGACACAGGGGTACAGGACACAGGGGTACAGAACACAGGGGTACAGGACACAGGGGGTACAGGACACGGGGGGTACAGGACACGGGGGGTACAGGACACGGGGGGTACAGGACACGGGGGGTACAGGACACGGGGGGGTACAGGACACAGGGTACAGGACACAGGGGGTTCAGGACACAGGGTACTGGACACAGGGGTACAGGACACAGGGTACAGGACACAGGGTTCAGGACACAGGGTACTGGACACAGGGGTACAGGACACAGGGTACAGGACACAGGGTACAGGACACAGGACACAGGGTTCAGGACACAGGGTACAGGACACAGGACACAGGGTTCAGGACACAGGGTACAGGACACAGGGTACAGGACACAGGACACAAGGGTACAGGACACAGTCAGACCTACTCATAGAAGGAAAGCAACATGTAAAAGATCTGAGAATTATGATGTCTGACGACCTGACATTTAGTGAACATAACCGAGCAAATATGGCGGCGGCGGCGGCCAGGACAATGATGGGATGGTTTATGAGAACGTTCACATCCAGAGACCCCACAGCAGTGTTCACATCCAGAGACCCCACAGCAGTGTTCACATCCAGAGACCCCACACCTGTGTTCACATCCAGAGACCCCACACATGTGTTCACATCCAGAGACCCCATAGCAGTGTTCACATCCAGACCCCACAGCAGTGTTCACATCCAGAGACCCCACAGCAGGGTTCACATCCAGAGACCCCACAGCAATGTTCACATCCAGAGACCCTACAGCAGTGTTCACATCCAGAGACCCCACAGCAATATTCACATCCAGAGACCCCACAGCAGTGTTCACATCCAGACCCCACAGCAATGTTTACATCCAGAGACCCCACAGCAGTGTTCACATCCAGAGACCCCACAGCAGTGTTCACATCCAGAGACCCCACAGCAATATTCACATCCAGAGACCCCACAGCAGTGTTCACATCCAGACCCCACAGCAGTGTTCACATCCAGAGACCCCACAGCAGGGTTCACATCCAGAGACCCCACAGCAATGTTCACATCCAGAGACCCTACAGCAGTGTTCACATCCAGAGACCCCACAGGAATGTTCACATCCAGAGACCCCACAGCAGTGTTCACATCCAGACCCCACAGCAATGTTTACATCCAGACCCCACAGCAATGTTCACATCCAGAGACCCCACAGTAATGTTCACATCCAGAGACCCCACAGCAGTGTTCACATCCAGACCCCACAGCAATGTTTACATCCAGACCCCACAGCAATGTTTACATCCAGACCCCACAGCAATGTTTACATCCAGAGACCCCACAGCAATGTTTACATCCAGACCCCACAGCAATGTTTACATCCAGACCCCACAGCAATGTTTACATCCAGAGACCCCACAGCAATGTTTACATCCAGACCCCACAGCAATGTTTACATCCAGACCCCACAGCAATGTTTACATCCAGAGACCCCACAGCAATGTTTACATCCAGACCCCACAGCAATGTTCACATCCAGAGACCCCACAGTAATGTTCACATCCAGAGACCCCACAGTAATGTTCACATCCAGAGACCCCACAGTAATGTTCACATCCAGACCCCACAGCAATGTTCACATCCAGAGACCCCACAGCAATGTTCACATCCAGAGACCCCACAGTAATGTTCACATCCAGACCCCACAGCAATGTTTACATCCAGAGACCCCACAGCAATGTTCACATCCAGAGACCGCACAATAATGTTCACATCCAGAGACCCCACAGCAATGTTCACATCCAGACCCCACAGTAATGTTCACATCCAGAGACCCCACAGCAATGTTCACATCCAGAGACCCCACAGCAGTGTTCACATCCAGACCCCACAGTAATGTTCACATCCAGAGACCCCACAGCAATGTTCACATCCAGAGACCCCACAGCAGTGTTCACATCCAGAGACCCCACAGTAATGTTCACATCCAGAGACCCCACAGCAATGTTCACATCCAGAGACCCCACAGCAGTGTTCACATCCAGACCCCACAGTAATGTTCACATCCAGAGACCCCACAGTAATGTTCACATCCAGAGACCCCACAGTAATGTTCACATCCAGAGACCCCACAGCAGTGTTCACATCCAGACCCCACAGTAATGTTCACATCCAGAGACCCCACAGCAATGTTCACATCCAGAGACCCCACAGTAATTTCACATATAGAGACCCCACAGTAATGTTCACATCCAGAGACCCCACAGCAGTGTTCACATCCAGAGACCCCACTGCAGTGTTCACATCCAGAGACCCCACAGCAGT